CAACAGGAAGGAAGAGACCATGAAAATGAACAGTATTAAAAAAACCTCTAAAATTACAACAGCAAAACAACAGAGAGGAAACAACCAGGCACATCTTAACACCTCTCAACAAAAGATTTTCCCAGGCTCAGTGAGGCCTTCAAATGCTAATGAAGGTGGTCAGTTGAAACATTCACAGCTAGCTCCAACAGACAAGAGTCCTTTGTCCCACCCCAGTCATTCCACAGATATATAAACCTATTGTCCTAATTCCAACAGACCTCACTATTATTTATTTACTTATTTACTTTACTTTACTTATATACCGCTGTTCTCAGCCCGAGGGCGACAGTGCTTCTAATACAGTGCTTCTGGGACTTGGTATTGGAGATAGGTTCAAAATTATAGTCCAGGTCAATCCACTGTCAGTCACACAATGCCATCTCTGCCTTCATCTTCAGTCCTTGTGGTTGCAGGGCTTTGGAGAGAGGCTCTTTCCCCCTCCTTCCAGAGTAATGCTGGGCAAGGAAGGGTTAAGGGCAGGGAGTGTGGTTCCTAGAGAGGCAGGAAGGAAGTGGGCCTCCCCCCTCCCAGACCCGCCTTTCCTGCCGCTCTAGGAACCCGGCTGGGAGAGGAGAGTGTCCCCTTTGGCCTCTCCTTCCTCTTCCTCTCCTGGTTTCCTTCCTTCTCCTCCTCTTTCTCCTTCCTCCTCTTCTCCTCCTTCCGGTGAGTCTCCTTCCCATTCCTTCTCCAAAGGGCCAAAGAGGGGCTGAAGCCCAACACACCTGGAGGGAGGGAGGCGGGAGGGAGGGCCAAAGGGGGCCCAGGCCTCCTTCCCTCCCTCCCAGGCTGGCCTTCTCACATCAGTTCCATCTTGCCTCCTGCCTATGTCATCAGCTGGGGACCCCTCCACCAGCACCAACTGCTTCTCTGGGCCAGAGTGAAGAGAGAGGCGGGCAGGAGACCATGCCATCTTGTCTCCTGTGCTTTACTAATAATCTATACACTTAGAAACAAATGCGGTCATCGCTAATAGTCAACATGGATTTATCAAAAACAAGTCATGCCAGACTCATCTGATCTCTTTTTTCGGTAGTGTTACAAGCTGGGTAGATGCGGGGAATGCCGTGGGTGTGGCGTACCTGGATTTCAGGAAGGCCTTCGACAAGGTCCCCCATGACCTCCTGGCAAGGAAACTAGTCCAATGTGGGCGAGGCAAAACTACGGTGAGGTGGATCTGGAATTGGTTAAGTGGACGAACATAGAGGGTGATTCTCCCCAAGGCTTCCTCTTCTTCATCCTGGAAAGAAGTGACGAGTGGAGTGCCATCAGCAGCGTTCCATCCTGGGCCCGGTCCTGTTCAACATCTTCATTCATGACTTAGATGAAGGCTTAGAAGGCAGGATCATCAAGTTTGCAGACGACGCGAAATTGGGAGGGATAGCCAATACTCCAGAGGACAGGAGCAGGATTCAAAACGATCTTGACAGATTAGAGAGATGGGCCAAAACTAACAAAATGAAGTTCAACAGTGACAAATGCAAGATACTCCACTTTGGCAGAAAAAACGAAATGCAAAGATACAGAATGGGGGACAATGCCTGGCTCGAGAGCAGTACGTGTTAAAAAGATCTTGGAGTCCTCGTGGACAACAAGTTAAACATGAGCCAACAATGTGATGTGGCGGCAAAAAAAGCCAATGGGATTTTGGCCTGCATCAATAGGAGCATAGTGTCTAGATCTAGGGAAGTAATGCTACCCCTCTATTCTGCTTTGGTTAGACCACACCTGGAATATTGTGTGCAATTCTGGGCACCACGACTCAAGAGAGATATTGACAAGCTGGAATGTGTCCAGAGGAGGGCGACTAAAATGATCAAGGGTCTGGAGAACAAGCCCTATGAGGAGCGGCTTAAGGAGCTGGGCATGTTTAGCCTGAAGAAGAGAAGGCTGAGAGAAGATACGATAGCCATGTATAAATATGTGAGAGGAAGCCACAGGGAGGAGGGAGCAAGCTTGTTTTCTGCTTCCCTGGAGACTAGGACGCAATGGAACAATGGCTTCAAACTACAAGAGAGGATATTCCATCTGAACATGAGGAAGAACTTCCTGACTGTGAGAGCCGTTCAGCAGTGGAACTCTCTGCCCCGGAGTGTGGTGGAGGCTCCTTCTTTGGAAGCTTTTAATCAGAGGCTGGATGGCCATCTGTCAGGGGTGATTTGAATGCAATATTCCTGCTTCTTGGCAGAATGGGGTTGGACTGGATGGCCCATGAGGTCTCTTCCAACTCTTTGATTCTATGATTCTATGAATGGTGGATCTGGACCAAACTTAGCACAAGAACTCAATATGCCCAAATATGAACACAGATGGAGTTTGGGGGAAATAGACCTTGACATTTGGGAGTTGTAGTTGTAGATTTATAGTTTATCTACAATCAAAGAGTGTTCTGAACCCCACCAATGACAGAATTGGGGCAAACTTCCCACACAGAATCCCCATGACCAACAGAAAATACTCAAGGGCATCCAGTCCAACTCCCTTCTCCAGGGCAAGAAAACGTCATCAAAGCCCTCCTGACAAAGAGCCATCCACCCATAGATATAGATAGATATGATGATGATGATAATAATAATAAACCTTTATTTATATCCCGCTACCATCTCTACCAGCCATAAACGACTCCGGCCCTGTTTACCTCTTCGAATGTATTCTCCCCTATGAACCATCAAGATTATTAAGATTGTCTGGAGGGGCCCTGCTCTCGGTCCCACCGGCCTCGCAAGCGCGTCTGGTGGGGACAAGGGACAGGGCCTTCTCGGTGGTGGCCCCTCAACTCTGGAACTCTCTCCCACCGGAGATCTGAACTGCCCCTTCTATCCTGACATTCAGGAAGCATTCTCTCCTGAAATCATTAAATCTGCAATTCAGAACCCTAGAATCAAAGAGTTGGAAGAGACCTCATGGGCCATCCAGTCCAACCCCATTCTGCCAGGAAGCAGGAATATTGCCTTCAAATCACCCCTGACAGATGGCCATCCAGCATTCAGGAAGCAGGTGAAGACGTGGTTATGGAGACAGGCATTCGATGAGTGAGCCAACACCCCGAGATATGGATGGAGAATGATGAACATCAAATTTAGTGGGACGACTGACCATTGTAGTGTATTTATTGAATGTAATTGCTGTTTTTAATGTTTTATTGCAATATGAAGTATGATGTTTTATTGACTGTATATGATATTATGGTTGGAAACCGGTCTGAGTCCCTCAAGAGAGGTGAGAAGGTCGGTATATAAAACTTTTAAATAAATAAATAAATAAAATCTCCCGAAGGACTCGGTGCGGCTTACAAGAGGCCGAGCCCAAATACATCAGTAAAACACAACAACAACAGTACAATAATAAAAAAACTCATAAACAAAGCAAAAAAAACAAACAATAACACCGCGGCGCATTAAAACCAGTGGCAGGGCCAAATGTAGTACTTAAAATCTTTAAAACTGCTGGGCATGATCAGGTGAAATAGGATCGATATTTTAGGGATAGGTATGATTCACACACACACACAGATATAGTATCTTAGATTTGAAAGGGACCCCTGAAGAAAGACAATTTTATGTTGCCTGTTCCAGAGTAGGCAAACCAGACAATCTCCACATCCACACTGACAAAGAAACAGCAAGAAATACTGTTTACCCACAAACATAAATTACATATATTAGAAACCAACACTTTCTCATTATTTTCCAGATCACCAGACTGGGCCACAGCTACACGTGGCAGGGGACAGCTAGTATAATATAATATCTTGTATATACATATAATATTTATATATTACTAGTGGTCCCCTGTCATGCGTTGCTGTGGCCCAGTCTGGTGATCTAGAAAATAAAGTAATGAGAAAGTGTTGGTTTCTAACATATGTCATGTTTTTATGCTTATGGGTAAACAGTATTTCTTGTTGTTTCTTTGTCAGTGTTGGTGTGGGGAGTGTCTGGTTTGCCCACTCTGGAACATGCAACATATCATTGTCTTTCTGTAGAGGTCCCTTTCAAATCTTTGATACAGCATCTGTCATATACATATGTGTGTGTATGTATGTGTGAATGGCTGGACGGCCCTTTGTCAGGAGGGCTTTGATTATGTTTTCTTGCCCTGGTGAAGGGAGTTGGACTGGATGGCCTTAAGACAGCATTTCTCAACGTGGGAAGTCAAGACCCGGGGGGGGTGTCACCAGGGGAGTGTCAGAAGGGTCACCAAAGACCACCACAAAACACAGTATTTTCTGTTGGTCATGGGGGTTCTGTGTAGGATGTTTGGCCTAATTCCATCATTGGTGGGGTTTGCCATTCCAGAGGAATGCCATTCCTTCTCTGTCTTTTGCATCATACATATTTTCCATTCGTTTTCTGGCTTTTTAATTTTTCCCAATGAGTTTTGTCGGTTTTTTCTTCCAGGCTTCAAAGAATGCTCCCTCTGACAAAATTGGTATTGTATGAAATAAATAGAGCATTTTTGAGATTACATTCATTTTGATTGTGGACATTCTCACCAATAGAGATGGGTCCAAATTCTTCCAACTTTGCAGGACTTTTTGTATCACTTTCCATATTTTTTCATAATTGTTTCTAAATAATTCAGTTTCTGTTTGTTGTCTGGATTTCCAAATATTTTACTTTAGTCGTTACATTGATTTTTGTCTCTTGTTTCAAAGTCTCTTGGTTCTTTTTCACAAGGAAGGCTATGGATCACGAGGCATCAGCTGAAAGAATCACGGGGGATTCAGTGTGGGTTGGGACTGAATGGGAGCCCAATGGGAGGCCAGGTGAGTCCAGGTGGGCCTGGAGGCTGGAGAAGCAGAGGCCCAAGTGAAAGGAGAGCCCAGCATTACCTGGCTCTGAAGTAAATAAAGGGTTTGTTATTTCATTCTCCAAGAAAAAGCCTCCCGAAGCCTGTTGTCTAATTCTGCCTTTCTTTCACAGAGGAAAGGTGATTGTTGGCGGAGAATTTTGGAGTAGAGCCTGTTGAGGGATTTCTTTCCCTTGAGAGAGGAGGGAGGAAACGCATCTAGGATCCAGTTGGCTTCTTCATCCATCAGTAGTTCCAACATGGAGAGACCCAACTCACCTGGACCTGAAGCAGGCAGGCCTCCTGGGAGCAATGGGGAATTCTGGGAAAGAACTACGGAGACAATCCTGAATGCGCACATACAGCTCCAGCGCTTCAGGCATTCCTCCTTCCGAGAGGGCGAGGGACCCAGAGAGGTTTGCAGCCGCCTCCACTCTCTCTGCCGCCAGTGGCTGAAGCCAGAGCAACACACCAAGGCGGAGATGCTTGACCTGGTGATCCTGGAGCAGTTCCTGAGCATCCTGCCCCCAGAGATGGGGAGCTGGGTCCGAGAGTGTGGGGCAGAGACCTCTTCCCAGGCAGTGGCCCTGGCAGAAGGCTTCCTCCTGAGTCGGGCAGAGGACAAGAAGCAGGAAGGACAGGTGAGAGCATTGCCTCTTGGCTTCACTCACCTTGGGACTGATGGATACATTCATCCTGCCTCTCTTCCAAGATGAGACCGATGGGAGTGAGAAGGCGGACTCTGTTCCCTCGGCCTCTTTTCCCACCTGCTCTGGCCCTCCTGCTCTCACCTCCATATTCACTATAAGTTCAGTTGCATCTCAGTTCACATTTGTTGACCCCAGATATCACATTGAAAATGATGGCACGTAGAATATGGCTCATCTCAGAATGCAATTTCTGCACTTTTGAGGGGGGAAAAAAACATTTTCTAATCTTTCTCCATACTACTTCTAAAATTCTCTGTGCTCTTCCAGGCCCAAAATAACTGTATTGAAGTCCACCTCGGTGTCCCTGAATCAGAAAAGTCTCACTCAGACACCACCCAGAGCCTCCAGCAGAAGGAGCTCAAGCAGGAATCGGATGAAGCTGCAGCCTTGCAGGGTAAGAAGGAACCCTTCTGGGAGTGTTGGTGTTTTATGCCAGTGGAAATTCCCCTTCAGGGAAAATACAATCTGTTTGAGCTAGAGAAGATGCACATTTCAGCATGATTTGCAGTTTTGGCCCCTCCAAGCTGAAGGTGGCGCTGTTCAATGCCAGGTCGGTAAATGGAAAAACCGCCATCATCCAAGATCTAATCCAAGAAGAACGAGCAGACCTGGCTTGTATAACGGAGACCTGGTTGGACGAGGGGGGAGGGGTCAATCTCTCCCAACTCTGTCCACCAGGTTATCTGTTCAGCACCAACCAAGGCTTGGAGGGCGGGGAGGCGGAGTCGCAGTGGTCTATAAGGAGTTTATTCCACTGATCAGGTGTCCCATCCCACAATCATCTTCCTTTGAATGTGCCGGCTTTAGGATAGGTGACCGGGACAGGATAGGGATTCTGTTAGTGTACCGACCACCCCGCTGCACTACAGTCTCCCTACCTGAGCTAGCAGGAGTGGTCTCAGACATGGCGTTGAGCTTCCAACGGCTCTTGGTCTTGGGTGATTTCAACGTCCATGCTGAGGCCTCTCTTTCTGGCGCGGCTCAGGACTTCATGGCCGCCATGGCAACCATGGGCCTGTCCCAGCTAATATCTGGTCCCACCCATAGTGCCGGACACACCTTGGATTTGGTCTTCACCCAGGGATGGGATGAAGGTGACGGGATGGAGGAGCCGACCATCGCTCCATTGCCATGGACCGATCACCATCTGATCAGTTTTAGACTAACTGTGCCTTCTAACCTCCGCAGGGGTGGTGGACCCATTAGAATGGTCCGCCCCAGGAGACTGATGGATCCAAATGGCTTTCTGACGGCTCTTGGGGATTTTTCCACCTCCTTGGCTGGCGACTCTGTCGATGCTCTGGTCTCTCGCTGGGACAGGGAGTTGACCAGGGCAATTGACACAATCGCTCCGGAACGCCCCCTCTCGAGTAACCGAGCTAAACCAGCCTCTTGGTTTACTGAGGAGCTGGCAGCGATGAAGCGAAAGAAGAGGAGGCTAGAGTGCGTGTGGCGCCAGAAGCCCACCAATCCGGCTCAAACACACCTGAATGCCTTTTTAAGGTCCTACGGTGTGGCAATTGCGGCGGCTCAGAAAACATTCATCACAGCCAATATTGCATCTGCGAAGCATCGTCCAGCTGAGCTTTTCCGAGTTGTCAGGGGCCTGTTAAATCCGCCAAAAAGCGAGGCCTCGGATAACTCGGTGGCTCGCTGTGAAGCATTTGCTCGATCTTTCGCGGATAAAATTGAGCGGATCCGGTCAGGCTTTGACGTCATGTTAACGGCAGTCTCTGGGGATGTAACGAGAGCATCTGCTTGTCCAGTTTTATTGGATTCTTTTCAATTGGTTCAGCTTGAGGATGTGGACAGGATCCTTGGAGAGGTGCGACCCACCACATGCATCCTAGACCCCTGCCCTTCCTGGCTGATCAAGGAAGCCAGAGGGGGTTTGGCAGAGTGGGTGAAGGTGATGGTTAATGCCTCCTTACAGGAAGGAAAATTTCCAGCGAGCTTAAAACAAGCTATTATAAAACCGCTGTTGAAGAAACCATCACTGGATCCCACTCAATTCGACAACTATCGGCCAGTTTCCAATCTCCCCTACTTGGGCAAAGTCATGGAACGTGTGGTGGCAACACAACTCCAGGGGTTCCTGGTAGACACTGATTATCTGGATCCGGCACAGTCTGGCTTTAGGCCGGGACATGGAACTGAGACAGCCTTGGTCGCCTTGGTAGATGATCTTCGCAGGGAACTGGACAGGGGGAGTGTGTCCCTGTTAGTTCTGCTGGACCTCTCAGCGGCTTTCGATACCGTCGATCACGGTATCCTTCTGGGTCGCCTCATGGACATGGGGCTCGGGGGCACTGCTCTGCAGTGGCTCCGATCCTTCCTTGAGGGACGGACCCAGAAGGTGTTACTGGGTGACACCTGTTCGACCCCACAACCGTTGTTGTGTGGAGTCCCACAGGGTTCAATTCTGTCCCCGATGTTATTTAACATCAACATGAAGCCGTTGGGAGAGATCATTCGGAGTTTCGGAATGAGATGTTATCTCTACGCAGATGATGTCCAAATCTGTCACTCCTTTCCATCTGTCACCAAGGAGGCTGTCCAGACCTTGAACCGGTGTTTAGCTGCTGTATCGGACTGGATGAGAGCGAACAAATTGAAATTGAATCCAGACAAGACAGAGGTCCTACTGGTCAGTCGTAAGGCCGAACAGGGTATAGGGTTACAGCCTGTGTTAGACGGGGTTACACTCCCCCTGAAGACACAGGTTCGCAGCTTGGGAGTGATCCTGGACTCATCGCTGAGCCTGGAACCCCAGGTCTCAGCGGTGGCCGGGAGAGCTTTCGCACAATTAAAACTTGTGCGCCAGCTGCGCCCGTACCTTGGGAAGTCAGATCTGGCCACGGTGGTCCACGCTCTTGTCACATCCCGGTTGGATTACTGCAACGCACTCTACGTGGGGTTGCCTTTGAAGACTGCTCGGAAACTACAATTAGTCCAGCGAGAAGCAGCCAGATTGCTCACTGGAGCGATGTACAGGGAGCACACCACCCCCCTGCTACATCAGCTCCACTGGCTGCCGATCCAATTCCGAGCACAATTCAAAGTGCTGGTTTTAACCTACAAAACCCTATACGGTTCCGGCCCAGTGTATTTGTCCGAACGGATCTCCCTCTACGTCCCACCTCGGAGTTTAAGATCTTCTGGGGAGGCCCTGCTCTCAACCCCGCCTCTATCTCAAGTGAGGTTGGCGGGGACGAGGAGCAGGGCCTTCTCGGTGGTGGCCCCTCACCTATGGAACTCACTCCCTGGGGAGATCAGATCAGCGACCTCCCTTCTGTCGTTCAGAAAAAAACTGAAGACCTGGATCTGGGACCAAGCTTTTGGACATTCTGGCAGCTAAAATAAGGACCCATTGATGAGCAGGAATTGTTGGAATGAATGGACATTTCGGAACTCTGAATTTCACTGTGCATGAAACTGTTTTATTATATGTAGTGATGTGTTTTAATGCTGCTAAATGTTTATACTGTTTTATATATGCTGTATATTTTGACAGGCATCGAATTTGTGCCTTTGTTTGTAAGCCGCCCTGAGTCCCCCCTAGGGGGTGAGAAGGGCGGGGTATAAGTAACTGCAATAAATAAATAAATATTTTCTTTCTGGCAGTACTTCTACATTTGCATACTGTTGGGTGGGAGTGAAAAATCATTCCTTCGGTAACTTCCCAGGTGGGATCCAAAGCTAAGAAGAGCCATGAAACTGAGCTGGAAACTGAACTGTTGGTATTTCAACAGTAACTGGAGTCACTTGAAATACCAAGTCCTGGACTCGTTTCACAGGTTGAGATAAAAAAAGTCCTAAACTCCAAAATGTTACATATTCCTGGGCAGGATAATGCTCCTGTGTCCATAGGGTCAATTCTTCATAAGTTTCTTTTTAGGACTGTGATTGTAACTTCTAAAACATGTTTATGTGATCAGTTTTCTACACCTTGCTCTCTCCCCCAGGGGCTGGAATGATGTTCCCGAATCCACAGTCGTTTATTCCCCTTTGTGAAGGAGTGGAACTGAATCAGGTAAGCAGAAGGATTTCTGGGAGACTCAAAAAGATCTCATCGTAGGCAACTACTACTACTACTACTACTACTACTACTACTACTACTACCTCTGAGCCAGGATGAAAAGCTCGACAAAGCCTTCTGTCAACCAAACAAGCACAAAGAGGAGATACAGTAGTCATGGGCAATTTCAACTATCCCGATATTTGCTGGAAAACAAATGCAGCCTAGAGTACAAAGTCCAACAAATTCCTCGCTTGTCTTGCAGACCGTTTTAGAGTCCAGAAGAGGCACCAAGGGGATTGGCTACTCTCAATCTCATCCTAACAAATGCGGAGGACCTGATCAATGCAGTCAAAGTGGTTGAATCCTTAGGGGCAAGTGACCATGTGCTCCTGCAATTTGCGATACAAAGGAAGGCCGAAACTAAGACAAGTCAAACCCGCATTCTGGGCTTTAGAAAAGTTGACTTCCAAAAAATGAAGGAAATACTGAGAAGCGTTCCGTGGACACCGATACTAAAAGACAAGGGAGTTATGGCTGGATGGGAATTTTTCAAGAGTGAAATACTCTTGAAAATACAGTGCCAACAAAGAGAAAAAATAGGAGAAGTGCAAAGAATGTCCAAAGAACTTCTAACTGGGCTAAATCTCAAAAGAGACATGCACAAGAAGTGGAAAAAGAGAGAAATCACCAAAGAAGAATTCAAACACATTTCTGATACTACATATCAATCAAGAAATGGTTCTTAACTGTGACCAACCAGATGTCTCTACAAGACTCAAACTATGGCACGGAGGCCATAGACCTTTCCCTTTCAAACATCCAACAGGAATATAAATCTGTTTTAAAGAGTTTCTTGTAATTATTTCTCTTGATGACCCTTATGTGAGAAGGAAATGTGTTCTTTTTCCACCAGGGCCCAATCGCCTTTGATGTCGTGGCTGTTCATTTCTCCCTGGAGGAGTGGGTTCTTCTGAATCCTGGTCAGAAAGTCTTGCACATGCAGATCATGGAAGAGATTCATGGGATTGTGGACTCTCTTGGTAAGGCTCCCTCACAAATGGGGATTTCTATTTCAGAAGTGCAGCATCCCAATCAGCAGCTCCCTGGTGGGGATAGGATCCTAAGTCATCTCAATCTCTGAGAGTTCTCAAGGCAGGGCTTATGTTAGAAATATATGACATAGGAGTAATATTGACTTGGTGCCTGAGCAACAGCCATTTTAGCACCATTTTGGACTCCAGTGGGAAGTCAAGTCCAAGCTCCCTCGCAGCACCAGGGCCCCCTCGAAAACCTCTCAAGAGTGATCACCCTAGATCAGTCACTAGATGAGTGTGTGTGTGAGGAAGAGGCAGGGGCGGGGGCATGCAGTGGGGAGCAAATATTCAATAAGTAGCCCAGCAAACCTATCCTGACTTCAGGCACACCTTTTCAGCAACCTGCTTTTGCATCCTGTGTACCCTTGGACTGCTTGGAAAGCCACTGCATGCCTGAAGCCAAAAGGAGTACAGTGTCCCGTGGTTTGCTTTTAATGGACTTGCTGTTTTGCGGATTTTAAAAAAAATACTAATTTTAAAATATATATCATGGTATTTTCACTGTTTTGTGAGTTTTTGCCTCCACCGCTCTCTGAGGTGCTTTCCCTCCTCAGGCCTCCCTGCCTCCCTCCAGCCTTGGTCCTTCCTTCCTTCCTTTCCTTCCTTCACTTTATTTTAAGTTTATAAAGACTTAAAATAGTGTATACCTACTAAAATAATGTATAAATATTAAAATAATCAGCGCATCCCTACTTTGCGGTTTTCATTTATTGCAGGAGGTCCTGGAATGTAACCCCCGCAAAGGAACACTGGATGGAAAATGATGGGAAATACTTGTTTTTGCAAAAAGCAGACTTGCTCTTGATGTCTGCTGACATTCTTCTTCCCAGTAACTCGGGCCCCAAGGAAATATATTGGAGTGGGGCCGGAGAATGGAACATAAAAAAACTTCTCCTGGCTTTAGATATGCAGACAGAGCTATACATATTTTTATCAGGGTGATATTCCACCTTCTTTTTCTTGCCAGCTCTTCATGTCTGCAGGCCAGGCTCTTTTTGTACGCTGCCGCTCCCAGCACACAAACTGTCCCTTGCTTCAGTCATTGGGAAGATGGTGACCTGAAACATAATGTGTTCTATGTTCTGTGCTTGTGAATGATTAGGGCTCGGGTTTTTTTTTTAGTCACATGGGGAGAAAGAAAGAAAAAGAAAGGAATGATTGTTAAATGGGTGGTAGCATGATACAATTTTAGCGAGAATAAAAGGCAAGGATTTGAATGTGAAGGCAAAAGGGAGGAGGAGACAGAATAAAAAAACATACTGGGCTGAGCAACAGGTATACTCTGGAACATATATTACTCAGCTCACCTTTAGAGGCTCCAGGCAGTCAAACAGTGTCTATTCTTAATGAACAAGGAGTGAGAAGAGGGCAGCATTTATATCTTTAGACCCTTTATCACTCACGCTGAGGAATGATTGTTTCTGTCCTTCTTCACAGCAGATAAATGGAAGAAGAGCAATGTCTACACCAAACACAGTCAGCATTCTGGGCACAATGAGGGCCTTCCTAGACACCAGCAAACCCACAGTGAAGACGGAGTTTCTGCCAGGGAAAGGCCCTTCCTATGCAATGCATGCGGGCAGTGTTTTAAACATTATATGGCACTTGTGCTTCACAAGACACTCCATGCTGAGAAAAGGCATCTTAAATGGAAAGTATCAGCAAAATGTGTTGCTGATTACAAATTGCCACATCTGAGCCAAGAAGAAATATTTGAAGCAACTGAAGATTTCATAAACCAAGAGTGTGGGAAATCTTTTATCCAGAGTTCACACTTGGAGAAACATGAGAGATTTCACACAGGAGAGAATCCATACCAGTGCCAGCAGTGTGGGAAATGTTTTGCTGACAGTTCAGCCTTGGTGACGCATAAGAGAGTCCACACAGGAGAGAAACCATACCAATGCCAGGAGTGTGGGAAATGTTTTACTCACAGTTCAACCTTGGTGAACCACAAAAGACTCCACACAGGAGAGAAACCATACCAATGCCAGCAGTGTGGGAAATGTTTTGCTGACAGTTCACACTTGGTGAACCACAAAAGACTCCACACAGGAGAGAAACCATACCAATGCCAGGAGTGTGGGAAATGTTTTACTCAGAGTTCAACCTTGGTGAGCCACAAAAGAATTCATACAGGAGAGAAGCCACACAAATGCCAGGAGTGTGGGAAATGTTTTGGTTACCGCTCAGACTTGGTGAGCCACAAAAGAGTCCACACAGGAGAGAAGCCATACCACTGCCAGGAGTGTGGAAAATGTTTTGCTGACCGTTCATCCTTGGTGAGCCACAAAAGAGTCCACACAGGAGAGAAGCCATACCAATGCCAGGAGTGTGGGAAATGTTTTGGTTACCGCTCACACTTGGAGAGCCACAAAAGACTCCACACAGGAGAGAAGCCATACCATTGCCAGGAGTGTGGGAAATGTTTTACTCAGAGTTCAGGCTTGGTGAACCACAAAATAGTCCACACAGGACAGAAGCCATACAAATGCCAGGAGTGTGGGAAATGTTTTGCTGACAGTGCAGCCTTGGTGAGGCACAAAAGACTCCACACAAGAAAGAAGCCATACGAATGCCAGGAGTGCGGGAAATGTTTTACTCACAGTTCAGGCTTGGTGAACCACAAAATAGTCCACACAGGAGAGAAGCCATACCAATGCCAGGAGTGTGGGAAATGTTTTGCTGACAGTGCAGCCTTGGTGAGCCACAAAAGATTCCACACGGAAGAGAAGCCAAACCAATGCCAGGAGTGTGGGAAATGTTTTGCTCGCAGTTCAGCCTTCATGAGCCACAAAAGACTCCATAAAATCATAGAATCATAGAGTTGGAGACCTCATGGGCCATCCATAAACCTTTAAAAAAGATGAGTAAATATGTAGCATTTGGTTGCAAACGGTGTAATTTCAGTGTGATTTGCAGTTTTCTTCCTGGCAGTAATTCTATATTTGCATACTGTTGGGTGGGACTGAAAAATCATGTCTTCAGTATCTTCCCAGGTGGGATCTAAAGCTTAGATGAGCCTTGAACCAGAGCTGGAAGACAAACAGACAAGAAACAGTAACTTGAGTCAATTGAAATGCCAAGCCCAGTACTCGTTTCAGTCCAACCTATTCACAGCACTGGTTGACATAAAATGTCCTAAACTCCAAAATGTGACATATTCCTGGGCTGGAGAATGCTCCTGTGTCCATAGCGTCAATTCTTTATAGGTTTCTTTATAGGACTTAATTGTAACCTCTGAGACATGTTTATGTGATTAGCTTTCCACACCTTGCTCTCTCTCAGGGGCAGGAATGATGTTGTTGGCAAATCCACAGTCGTTTCTTCTGCTTTGGGATGAAGTGGAATTGAATCAGGTAAGCAGAAGAATTTCTGGGAGAATCGAGGGCTATAACCTTTTTCACAAAAGCATCTGGATAAGAATCAAGGGAACTGGGACTCAAAAAGATCTTGTCGTAGGCGTGTACTACAGATTTCCGAGCCAGGATGAAAAACTCAATGAAGCCTTCTGTCAACAGTTGACGAAACAAGCACAAAGAGAAGATATAATAGTCATGGCAATTTCAACTATCCCGATATTTGCTGGAAAACAAACATGGCCAAGAGTACAAGAGATTCCTTGCTTGCCTTGCAGACAGTTTTATGGTCCAGAAGAGGCTGAATCCTTAGGGGCAAGTAACCATGTGTTCCTGCAATTTGCAAGACAATGGAAGGCTGAAACTAAGACAAGTCAAACTTGCATTCTGGATTTTAGGAGAGTTGACTTCCAAAAAATGAAGGAAATACTGAGCAGCATTCTGTGGACGCTGATATTAAAAGACAAGGGAGTTACGAATGGATGGGAGTTTTTCAAGAGTGAAATACTCAAGGCGCAACTGCAAACAGTGCCAACAAAGAAAAAAAAAGTAGGATAAGTGCAAAGAACCCAGAATTGATGTCAAAAAGAAAATCTAACTGGTCTAAGACTCAAAAGAGACATGTACAAGAAGTGGAAAAGGGGAGAAATCACCAAAGAAGAATTCAAACAAATAACCAACTCCTGTAGGGAAAAAGTTTGCAAGGCTAAAGCACAAAAGGAGCTCAGGCTTGCCAGAGACATTAGAAACTGTCTACGGTAGTAGAAAAAGGAAAAACAAGGAGGCGATAGGGCCTCTGCAAGGACAAGATGGGGAAATGCTGACAGGGGATAGGGAAAAGGCAGAACTATCTAATGCCGTCTTTGCCTCAGTCTTCTCACAAAAGGAAAGTCATCCTCAACCTCAGCAACATGAAGTGGACAAACGATTAGAGAAAATCCAACCCCAAATAGGGGAAGGAATATCTGGCCGCTCTAAACAAATTCAAGTCATAGAATCAAAGAGTTGGAAGAGACCTTGTGGGCCATCCAGTCCAACCCCATTCTTCCAAGAAGCAGGAAAATCATATTCAAAGCACCCCCAACAGATGGCCACCCAGGCTCTGCTTTAAAGCCTCCAAAGAAGGAGCCTTCACCATACTCCAGGGCAGAGAGTTCCACTGTTGAACCGCTCTCGAAGCCAGAAGTTCTCCTGGCTTCAATGTGCACTTGGCTTAACTTTGGATTTCTGCCTACGATTTGGTAGAGGCCACTTCCTTGTCCTTTGAATTCCTAAGCTGAGGTCTTCTTCTCTGGAGCAGCTGAAAGCAAGCTCCCTGTGACAATCCTTCAGAGGGTTAAATATGACTTGAGATGTCACTTTTTTCAAAAAACCATATGTAATTCCATCAGTTGTTCTTCTAGGCTTAGTTTCCAGCTCCTTTGCCACCTAGGTTGCTAATTTCCAGTTTGTAAGTGTTGTCCTCCAGCGAAGACGGTGCTTCTGTTGAGGCCAAGCCAAAGGAAAATATGCTTGCACGGTTATTTCCCTTGATGTGCAAATCATATCTCTGGCTAGAATTTACTGCCTGTTTCCCTGCTCCTGGCACACACACTTTTAATCTGCATTAAATTGAAGAACACGAGTCTTGCTGTTATTTTAATATTTATTTATTTATTTATTTACATTGCTTCCATTTTGCCCTTCTCACCCCAAAGGAGACTCAGGGTGGATCACAGAACACATATACAGCAAACATTCAATGCTGATTATGCAGTGACAGACAACGGAGAGAGGTATATTTAGGCTTTCTCTCATCATTCGGCATCTTTTGGAGGCTGTGCTCAGTTGTGGCCACGGGAGTGCTGACGCTCCATCTCCTTTGCCGAAGAGCTTTCTTATTTATTTATTTAAAAGTTTTCTGTACCGATCTTCTCACCTCCAGGAGGGTGTTCATATACAAAATACAAACCACACAATGCATTATCATTACACGTTAAAAACATATTACAATACAACATCGTCATCATCACAATTACACAGCCAGGTCATCAAAAACATTCATGGTCATAATTCACAGTTACTCATTCTCCTTCCATGTGGACCAGAGTTGACTCAGTTGTCAAAGGCCGCATTCCATAGCCAAGTCTTTGTTAATTTCCTGAACGTCAGGAGGGAGGGAGCCGTTCTAATCTCCTGTGGGAGGGAGTTCCAAAGCCGGGGAGCCACCATCGAGAAGGCCCTGTCTCTCGTCCCCACCAACCGCGATTGTGACAGTGGTGGGATTGAGAGAGCCCCCCCCCCCCGGAAGATCTTAAAGACCTTGATGGTTCATAGGGGAGAATCCGTTCGGACAGGTAAACAGGGCCAGAGTCGTTTAGGGCTTTGTAGGTCAAAACCAGCACTTTGAATTGTGCTCGGAAGCTAATCGGCAGCCAGTGGAGCTGGCGTAACAGAGGGGTTGTATGCTCCCTGTACCCAGCCCCCGTTAGAAATCTGGCTGCCAAGCGTTGGACTAGCTGCAGCTTCCGGGCAGTCTTCAGAGGCAGCCCCACGTAGAGAGCGTTGCAGTAATCTAAACGGGATGTAACCAAAGCATGGACCACCGTGGCCAAGTCAGACTTCCCAAGATACGGGCACAGCTGGCGCACAAGTTTTTTCTTTCTTTGTTGATTAATTTTCTTCCGTGCCTAAGATACCTCCCCACTTAATGCAGTTACTATTCATTTACTCACGTTGCTGTTTTCAATCAGCTAGGTGGGCGGGGGAGCTGGGATAAAGATCAGGAGCTCACACTGACCCGGCTTCGAACGTTCAGTTGGCTGCAGCTGCTGATTAACCTGCTGTGCTATAACTGGCCTAATGTTATATATCATTGATTTTGTTATAAACAGAGAATTTGATCTTTGCAAAATTTAAGTCTCTGGATGTGATATTAAGGTAATAATAATCACTTTTAATTGAACTGCACAGAATAACAACAACAACAACTTTATTTTTGTATCCTGCCACCATCTCCCCGAACGGACTCAGGGTGGCTTACATGGGGACAAGCCCGGTCAAATATAAATTAAAATAAACACAGTAAAAATTCTAAAAGCAACATAAAACAACATAAAAACAACCAACAACAAACAACCAATAGCCTGACATGGTGGTCAGATTACTAATACAATTGCAACAACAGGGCCGATGGAAAAAGTGCAGGAGCCAGATAATAAGTGGAGGTTAGAAGGGCAATGTCAATTAGAACAGTATAGCTCTAGGGCAGGAAACAGTGGTAAAGTGCAAGACACAAATATTGAGTTATGACTGGTGCAGGGGCAAATTATCTAGTGAACTGTATAATCAAAGTCACAATGGAACATCCACATTTTTAGGTCTTTACGATTAGTGGACAGAGTGGGCACCAGTCTAATCTTCCTGGGGAGAGAGTTCCAGAGCCGGGGAGCCACCATTGAGAAGGCCCTCTTCCTCGTCCCCACCAGCCACGCTTGTGACGGAGGTGGGAGTGAGAGAAGAACCTCTCCAGCAGATCCTAGGGATCGCGCAGGTTCATAGGGAAAAATGCGATCACAAAGTTTTATTATTATTATTATTATTATTATTAAGTAAAGGTAAAAGTTTTCCCCTGACATTAAGTCCGGTTGGTCCAACTCTGGGGTGTGGTGCTCATATCCATTTAATAATAACAACAATACCAATAATAATAATAATAATAATAATAATAATAATAATATACAAACAATCTACAGACCCACCAAGAAAATCCAACAAATGCTACGTTCAGCAAAGGACAAGAGGGATCCTCTCACCTCTGCAGGAGTCTACCGTATACCATGCAGCTGTGGACAAGTCTACATAGGGACCACCAAACGCAGCAGCATTGCCCAAACACGAATCCAGGAACATGAAAGGCACTGCAGACTACTCCAACCAGAGAAGTCAGCCATAGCAGAGCACCTGATGAACCAACCTGGACACAGCATATCATTTGAGAACACAGAAATTCTGGACCACACCAACAACCACCATGTCAGACTACACAGAGGAGCCATTGAAATCCACAAGCATGTGGACAATTTCAACAGAAAGGAAGAGACATTCAAAATGAACAAAATCTGGCTACCAGTATTAAAAAACTCTAAAATTACAACAGCAAAACAACAGAGGGGAAACAAACAGGCACATAAAATCACTCTCAACAAAAGATTCCCCCCAGGCGCTTCCAAGCCATTGAATGCAAATCAAGGTGATCAGCTGAAACATTCACAGCTAGCCCCAGAAGACAAGAGTCCTTTGTCTCACCCTGGTCATTCCACAGATATAAAAACCCATTTTTCCTACTTCCAACAGACCTCACTACCTCTGAGGATGCTTGCCATAGATGCAGGCGAAACGTCAGGAGAAAAATTGCCTCCAGAACATGGCCATATAGCCCGGAAAAACCCACAAGAACTGAGTGATTCCAGCCATGAAAGCCTTCAACAATACAATTGTTTGTTGCTTGTATTGTTGTATTTGGGCTCAGCCTCATGTAAGGCCATCTCCCCAAGGGACTCGGCCACACCGAGTCCCTTGGGGAGATGGTAGTGGGGTACAAATAAAGTGGTATTATTATTTATTTATTTTAAATTTCATATTTCTCAGGGCAGCTTCACAACAGGCATTCATTTGATGCCAGCGACAGTGATAAAGAAGAATTACAATTAAAACAATTCATTGACACATTAAATTATTTTTCAAAAATCATTTTAAATCACGCAGATTCAAAATCCTAGAATCAAAGAGTTGGAAGAGACGTCATGGGCCATCTAGTCCAACCCCATTCTGCCAAGAAGCAGGAATATTGCATTCAAATCACCCCTGACAGATGGCCATCCAGCCTCTATTTAAAAGCTTCCAAAGAAGGAGCCTCCACCACACTCCAGGGCAGAGAGTTCCACTGCTGAACAGCTCTCACAGTCAGGAAGTTCTTCCTCATGTTCAGATGGAATCTCCTCTCTTGTAGTTTGAAGCCATTGTTCCATTGCGTCCTAGTCTCCAGGGAAGCAGAAAACAAGCTTGCTCCCTCCTCCCTGTGGCTTCCTCTCACATATTTCCACATGGCTATCATGTCTCCTCTCAGCCTTCTCTTCTTCAGGCTAAACATGCCCAGCTCCTTAAGCCGCTCCTCATAGGGCTTGTTCTCCAGACCCTTGATCATTTAGTTCGCCCTCTTCTGGACACATTCCAGCTTGTCAATATCTCTCTTGAATTGTGGTGCCCAGAATTGGACACAATATTCCAGGTGTGGTCTAACCAAAGCGGAATAGAGCATGGGGAGCATGACTTCCCTAGATCTAGACACTATGCTCCTATTGATGCAGGCCAAAATCCCATTGGCTTTTTTTGCCGCCACATCACATTCCTGGCTCATGTTTAACTTGTTGTCCACGAGGACTCCAAGATCTTTTTCACACGTACACATGAACTGCTCATAGTTCAGGTCAATCCACTGTCAGTCACACAATGCCATCTCTGCCTTCATCTTCAGTCCTTTGGTTGCAGGGCTTTGGAGAGAGGCTCTTTCCCCCTCCTTGGAGTGCCACGCTGGGCAAGGAAGGGTTAAGGGGAAGGAGTTGGATTCCCAGAGAGGCAGGAAGGAATGGGCCTCCTTAGACTTGCCTTTCCTGCCCCTCTAGGAACCAAACTCCCTTCTCTTCACCCTTCCTTGCCTGGCTGGGAGAGGAGAGTTTCCCCCTTTGGCCTCTCCTTCCTCCTTCTTCTTCCTCTCCTTCCGGTGAGTCTCCTTCCCATTCCTTCTCCAAAGGGCCAAAGAGAGCCCAACACACCTGGAGGGAGGGAGGGAGGGAGGGAGGGCCAAAGGGGGCCCAGGCCTCATTCACTCCTAGGTTGGCCTTCTAACATCAATCCCATCTTGTCTCCTGCCTGTGTCATGAACAAAATCCCTCCACCAGCACCAACTGCTTCTCTGGGCCAGAGTGAAGAGAGAGGCGGGCAGGAGACAATTCCATCTTGTCTCCTGTGCTTTACTAATAATCTATACACTTAGAAACAAATGCGGTCATCGCTAATAGTCAACATGGATTTATCAAAAACAAGTCATGCCAGACTCATCTGATCTCTTTTTTCGATAGAGTTACAAGCTGGGTAGATGCGGGGAATGCCGTGGATGGAGCGTACCTGGATTTCAGTAAGGCCTTCGACAAGGTCCCCCACGGCCTTCTGGCAAGGAAACTAGTCCAATGTGGGCTAGGCAAAACTACGGTGAGGTGGATCTGGAAGTGGTTAAATGGACGAACCCAGAGGGTGATTCTCCCCAAGGCTTCCTCTTCTTCATCCTGGAAAGAAGTGACGAGTGGAGAGCCATCAGCAGCGTTCCGTCCTGGGCCCGGTCCTGATCAGGATCTTTATTAATGACTTAGATGAAGGGGTAGAAGGCATGATCATCAAGTTTGCAGACGACACCAAATTGGGAGGGAGAGCCAATACTCCAGAGGACAGGAGCAGGATTCAAAACGATCTTGACAGATTAGAGAGATGGGCCAAAACTAACAAAATGAAGTTCAACAGTGACAAATGCAAGATACTCCACTTTGGCAGGAAAAACTAAATGCAAAGATACAGAATGGGGGACAATGCCTGGCTCGAGAGCAGTACGTGTGAAAAAGATCTTGGAGTCCTCGTGGACAACAAGTTAAACATGAGCCAACAATGTGATGTGGCGGCAAAAAAAGCCAATGGGATTTTGGCCTGCATCAATAGGAGCACAGTGTCTAGATCTAGGGAAGTCATGCTACCCCTGTATTCTGCTTTGGTTAGACCACACCTGGAATATTGTGTCCAATTCTGGGCACTACGACTCAAGAGAGATATTGACAAGCTGGAATGTGTCCAGAGGAGGGCGACTAAAATGATCAAGGGTCTGGAGAACAAGCCCTATGAGGAGCGGCTTAAGGAGCTGGGCATGTTTAGCCTGAAGAAGAGAAGGCTGAGAGGAGATATGATAGCCATGTATAAATATGTGAGAGGAAGCCACAGGGAGGAGGGAGCAAGCTTGTTTTCTGCTTCCCTGGAGACAAGGACGCGGAACAATGGCTTCAAACTACAAGAGAGGAGATTCCATCTGAACATGAGGAAGAACTTCCTGACTGTGAGAGCCGTTCAACAGTGGAACTCTCTGCCCCGGAGTGTGGTGGAGGCTCCTTCTTTGGAAGCTTTTAAACAGAGGCTGGATGGCCATCTGTCAGGGGTGATTTGAATGCAATATTCCTGCTTCTTGGCATGGGGTTGGACTGGCTGGCCCATGAGGTCTCTTCCAACTCTTTGATTCTATGATTCTATGAATGGTGGATCTGGACCAAACTTAGCACAAGAACTCAATATGCCCAAATATGAACACAGATGGAGTTTGGGGGAAATAGACCTTGACATTTGGGAGTTGTAGTTGTAGATTTATAGTTTATCTACAATCAAAGAGTGTTCTGAACCCCACCAATGACAGAATTGGGGCAAACTTCCCACACAGAATCCCCATGACCAACAGAAAATACTCAAGGGCATCCAGTCCAACTCCCTTCTCCAGGGCAAGAAAACGTCATCAAAGCCCTCCTGACAAAGAGCCATCCACCCATAGATATAGATAGATATGATGATGATGATGATAATAATAATAATAAACCTTTATTTATATCCCGCTACCATCTCTACCAGCCCTAAACGACTCCGGCCCTGTTTACCTCTCCGAATGTATTCTCCCCTATGAACCATCAAGATTATTAAGATTGTCTGGGAAGGCCCTGCTCTCGGTCCCACCGGCCTTGCAAGCGCATCTGCAAGTGGGGACGAGGGACAGGGCCTTCTCGGTGGTGGCCCCTCGACTCTGGAACTCTCTCCCACCGGAGATCAGAACCGCCCCTTCTTGTGTGCAATATTGTGTGCAATTCTGGGCACCACAATTCAATTTTTAAAAAATCATTTTAAATCACGCAGATTCAAAATCATAGAATCAAAGAGTTGGAAGAGRCCTCATGGGCCATCCAGTCCAACCCCATTCTGCCAAGAAGCAGGAATATTGCATTCAAATTTGTGTGGGATGTTTGGCCCAATTCCATTCAGGAAGCAGGTGAAGACGTGGTTATGGAGACAGGCATTCGATGAGTGAGCCAACACCCCGAGATATGGATGGAGAATGATGAACATCAAATTTAGTGGGACGACTGACCATTGTAGTGTATTTATTGAATGTAATTGCTGTTTTTAATGTTTTATTGCAATATGAAGTATGATGTTTTATTGACTGTATATGATATTATGGTTGGAAACCGGTCTGAGTCCCTCAAGAGAGGTGAGAAGGTCGGTATATAAAACTTTTAAATAAATAAATAAATAAAATCTCCCGAAGGACTCGGTGCGGCTTACAAGAGGCCGAGCCCAAATACATCAGTAAAACACAACAACAACAGTACAATAATAAAAAAAYTCATAAACAAAGCAAAAAAAACAAACAATAACACCGCGGCGCATTAAAACCAGTGGCAGGGCCAAATGTAGTACTTAAAATCTTTAAAACTGCTGGGCATGATCAGGTGAAATAGGATCGATATTTTAGGGATAGGTATGATTCACACACACACACAGATATAGTATCTTAGATTTGAAAGGGACCCCTGAAGAAAGACAATTATATGTTGCATGTTCCAGAGTAGGCAAACCAGACACTCTCCACATCAACACTGACAAAGAAACAGCAAGAAATACTGTTTACCCACAAAGAAATTACATATATTAGAAACCAACACTTTCTCATTACTTTATTTTCCAGATCACCAGACTGGGCCACAGCAACGCGTGGCAGGGGACAGCTAGTATAATATAATATCTTGTATATACATATAATATTTATATATTACTAGTGGTCCCCTGTCATGCGTTGCTGTGGCCCAGTCTGGTGATCTAGAAAATAAAGTAATGAGAAAGTGTTGGTTTCTAACATATGTCATGTTTTTATGCTTATGGGTAAACAGTATTTCTTGTTGTTTCTTTGTCAGTGTTGGCGTGGGGAGTGTCTGGTTTGCCCACTCTGGGACATGCAACATATCATAGTCTTTCTGTAGAGGTCCCTTTCAAATCTTTGATACAGCATCTGTCATATACATATGTGTGTGTATGTATGTGTGAATGGCTGGACGGCCCTTTGTCAGGAGGGCTTTGATTATGTTTTCTTGCCCTGGTGAAGGGAGTTGGACTGGATGGCCTTAAGACAGCATTTCTCAACGTGGGAAGTCAAGACCCGGGGGGGGGGGGGTGTCACCAGGGGAGTGTCAGAAGGGTCACCAAAGACCACCACAAAACACAGTATTTTCTGTTGGTCATGGGGGTTCTGTGTAGGATGTTTGGCCTAATTCCATCATTGGTGGGGTTTGCCATTCCAGAGGAATGCCATTCCTTCTCTGTCTTTTGCATCATACATATTTTCCATTCGTTTTCTGGCTTTTTAATTTTTCCCAATGAGTTTTGTCGGTTTTTTCTTCCAGGCTTCAAAGAATGCTCCCTCTGACAAAATTGGTATTGTATGAAATAAATAGAGCATTTTTGAGATTACATTCATTTTGATTGTGGACATTCTCACCAATAGAGATGGGTCCAAATTCTTCCAACTTTGCAGGACTTTTTGTATCACTTTCCATATTTTTTCATAATTGTTTCTAAATAATTCAGTTTCTGTTTGTTGTCTGGATTTCCAAATATTTTACTTTAGTCGTTACATTGATTTTTGTCTCTTGTTTCAAAGTCTCTTGGTTCTTTTTCACAAGGAAGGCTATGGATCACGAGGCATCAGCTGAAAGAATCACGGGGGATTCAGTGTGGGTTGGGACTGAATGGGAGCCCAATGGGAGGCCAGGTGAGTCCAGGTGGGCCTGGAGGCTGGAGAAGCAGAGGCCCAAGTGAAAGGAGAGCCCAGCATTACCTGGCTCTGAAGTAAATAAAGGGTTTGTTATTTCATTCTCCAAGAAAAAGCCTCCCGAAGCCTGTTGTCTAATTCTGCCTTTCTTTCACAGAGGAAAGGTGATTGTTGGCGGAGAATTTTGGAGTAGAGCCTGTTGAGGGATTTCTTTCCCTTGAGAGAGGAGGGAGGAAACGCATCTAGGATCCAGTTGGCTTCTTCATCCATCAGTAGTTCCAACATGGAGAGACCCAACTCACCTGGACCTGAAGCACGCAGGCCTCCCGGGAGCAATGGCGAATTCTGGGAAAGAACTACGCAGACAATCCTGAATGCGCACATACAGCGCCAGCGCTTCAGGCATTCCTCCTTCCGAGAGGGCGAGGGACCCAGAGAGGTTTGCAGCCGCCTCCACTCTCTCTGCCGCCAGTGGCTGAAGCCAGAGCAACACACCAAGGCGGAAATGCTGGACCTGGTGATCCTGGAGCAGTTCCTGAGCATCCTGCCCCCAGAGATGGGGAGCTGGGTCCGAGAGTGTGGGGCAGAGACCTCTTCCCAGGCGGTGGCCCTGGCGGAAGGCTTCCTCCTGAGTCGGGCAGAGGACGAGAAGCAGGAAGGACAGGTGAGAGCATTTCCTCTTGGTGTCACTCACCTTGGGACTGATGGATACATTCATCCTGCCTCTCTTCCAAGATGAGACCGATGGGAGTGAGAAGGCGGACTCTGTTCCCTCGGCCTCTTTTCCCACCTGCTCTGGCCCTCCTGCTCTCACCTCCATATTCACTATAAGTTCAGTTGCATCTCAGTTCTTTTTTTTTATTTATTAAAAAGACATTTTCTCTTTAATTGTACATAAAAAAACATTCTATAAGAGGAGGATGGGGGAAGGGAAGGTAGGCGAGAGGGGAAAAAAGACATAGCAAAGGGGGTAACGTTACCAAGAGAGTGGGAAAGGTGGGGGGGGGGTGGTAGTGAAGGAGAAGAATAGAGAGCGAAAGTAGGGGAGAGGGGTAATAAAAAGTACAGTTCTTTGACTTCCAAACCTCTTCTTTCGGAAACCGGTATAAATTTCTTGTTTGTATAGCATCTTCCCCTAACACTTGTATTTTGTCTTGAACTCATAATATCTTTCTTTTACATTTCTTTCTCTTCTTCATTGCTCTTAACTTTGGTCTCTTAATTTTTTGATTGTTTACTTTGTTCCTTCTTTTTTTTTTGTTTATTGTTGTTTTTATTTCTCATTCTTCTTAATTCCTCCTCATGTTTGTTGGTGTTCTGAACTGAGTTCTTCTGTGATGTATTGATCTACTATTTTCCAGTTTGTCTTCTGGATCGGTTTTCCATGAGAATCTTTTAGGGCGAAGGTCAGTTTATCCGCTTCTTTTACTTCTTGAATTTTGGCAAGCCATTCATCTTTTGTTGCTGTTTCTTTTTGTTTCCATTTCTTTGCTGCTACCATTCTGGCCGCAGTCGATAAATATGTAAAAAGGATGTCCTTGTTTCGATCTTTTTCAAATTCCTCATCTGTCAGGCCCAGCAGAAAGTATTCCGGCTTCAGTTGGATTTTTGTTTTGAAGATTTTTTCACAAGCTTCTTGTATTATTTTCCAGAAGGTTTTCATTTTGGGACACGACCACCAGGCATGAAAGAAGGTTCCCACGTGTGTTTCACATTTCCAACATTTATTTTGGGTGTTTTTGTACATTATGCTCAATTTTTGGGGGGTCATGTACCACCTAAAGAACATCTTCATCCAGTTCTCTCTCATATCTGTTGAATAGGTGTATCTACTTTTTCTTGTCCACAGTTTTTCCCATTCTCTCAGTTTTATCTCTCTCCCAATATTTTGCGCCCATTTAGTCATACATTCTCTTACCAGCTCCGTCTCCGTGGCCCAGTCCAAAAGTTTATTATATATCTTAGTAATGGTCTTCTTCTCTTTCATTAGTATCTTCTCTTGGAAGTCGTCTTTCTCCATAAAACCTATTTCTTTATCTTTTTTATGGTATTCCTTTAATTGTATATACTGGTACCATGAGACATTGCTGAATTTTTGGGCGATTTCTTCCCTTGTTTTCAATTGTGTGGAACCATCTTTTTTAGTGAGGATGTCCTTATAGGTGGGCCATGTTGCCCCGCCTCCAGAGGAGACACCCATGTGGGGGTCTTTGAGTACAGATTTGCCTTGTATCTAGTCCATATTTTCATCAGCGCCGATCTAATAAAGTGGTTATTAAAGTTTTTTTCCTTTTTCATTTGATCGTACCACAGGTACGCATGCCATCCAATTCTGAGATCGAAGCCCTCTAGTTCCAACATTCTCTCCTTCCTCAGTAGTATCCAGTCTCTTATCCAATTTAGGCAGCTCGCTTCATAATATAGCTTGAGGTCTGGAAGTCCCAGACCGCCTCTGTTTTTGATGTCCGTCAGGTGCCTGTGTTTTATTCTGGGCCTTTTACCCTTCCATATGAATTTGGATATCTCTCTTTTCCAATCATTGAATAATTTATTGTTTCTGATGATGGGAATACTTTGAAAGAGGTAAAGTAACTTTGGCAAGACATTCATCTTGATGGTGGCGACTCTCCCCAGTAACGATAGATTTAAATTGCTCCAATTTTTCAGATCTTTCTTTATTTCTGTCCATTTGACTTCATAGTTGTTCTTCAATAGCTGGGCGTTTCTTGCCGTTAGTTGAATTCCTAGGTATTTTATTTTTTTGGCAGTTAGTATCCCGCTTTTTTCCTGTAGTATTTCTTGGTTTCTTTTAGATATGTTCTTTGTTAGAATCGCCGTTTTTTTCTTATTGATTTTAAAGCCTGCAAGGTTTCCGAACTCTTCTATTTTTCCTAACCATTTGGTGATGTTTTCTCTTGGGTTCTCGATGATGCAGATCAGGTCATCTGCGAAGGCGCGGTATTTGTATATTTGTTTGCCTACTCTTAGCCCCGTCAGATCTTTATCTTTTTTTATGCTTCTTAGTAGGATCTCCAATGCCATGATGAAAATTAGCGGCGACAAGGGGCATCCTTGTCTGGTGCCTTTTTCTATTGGGATTTCCTCCGAAGGTTGTCCATTGATCCATATCACCGCTTTTTGTTCTTTATAGATTGCCTCGATAGCATTTTGAAACTTGAAGCCTATGTCTATTTCTCTGAAAATCTCTTTGAAAAACTCCCAGCTCAGGTTGTCAAAAGCCTTTTCGGCATCTACAGCCATTAAGGCTAGCTCTTTCTCGTGGTGTGTTTCATAGTATTCGATTACGTCCAGTATGTTCCTCAGGTTATCACCTATGTGTCTCCCCGGAAGGAAGCCCGTTTGATCTACATCAACCCAGTTCTTTAGAAAGTCTTTCATTCTTTCTCCTAGAATATCTGTAAAGATCTTATAATCGAGATTCAGTAGGGAGATCGGTCTGAAGTTTTTCACGTCAGTCTCCTCTGTTCCTTCTTTATGAATTAAGGTTATGTTTGCGAGTTTCCAAGTCTCTGGGAGGGTCCTATCTTCCATGATCTTATTCAATAGTTTTTTTTAAGTACGGTGTTATTTCTTCCACCATAGTTTTGTAGAAAATGGCTGTAAAGCCGTCAGGTCCTGGGGCTTTCGAAGGTTTCAGTTTTCTTATTGCTCTTTGGATCTCTTCGTTTGATATTTCTTTATTTAGGGATTCCCTTTGTTGCTCTGTAATCTTATCAAGTTGTTGTTTACTAATATAAGCTGTTATCTCCTCCAAGTTTGAGTGTTTTTTGGCGTAAAGGTTTGCATAAAAATTTTGGAATTCCTGTAAGATGTCTCTATCTGTAGTTACTTGTTTATTGTTAATTTTCAGTTTTGTGATCTGCATTGATTGCGTTTTCTTTCTTAGTTTTTGTGAAAGCCATTTACCTGGCTTATTTGCATTTTGAAATTCTTTCTGTTTTATGAATTTTAATTTTTTTGCTAGGTGGTCTAATTCCAATTGGTGTTTTTGATTTTTTAACCATTGTAGGGTTTTAGTAGTTTCTAGGTCTTCCCCTTTTTGTTTCAGATCTCTTTCTGCTCTTTCAATCTCTGTTTCTATTTTTAGAAGTCTCTGTCTTATGGCTCTATTTTTGGCAGCTTTTTGTTGTATTAGATTTCCTCTCATAACAGCCTTGCAGCTGTCCCATAGAATTTCAATTTTTATGTCTGGGGTGTCGTTAATTTTAAAGAATTCTTGTATTAATTTGGTGTTTTTTATTATATTTTCCTCTGTTTTGAGTAGATTATCATCCAGTCTCCATCTTTTCTGTGTTGATTTCTGGTTTATTATCATTTCGATGGCTCCATGGTCTGAGACCTCTCTCGGGGCAATTCTGATTTTTGAAATCTTTGGGGTTATTGTTTTTGAAGTCCAGGCCATATCTATCCTGGACCACACCCTATGCCTGTCTGAGAAGTAGGTGAAGTCTCTTTCGTCTTCGTTGTGTACGCGCCAGGCGTCTTCTAGGTCAAATTCTCGTTTTAATTTTAGAAATTTATCTGGAAGTGTGCTAGAATCCTTTTTTTTTGCTCTTTTTGTTGGGTTTAGATTTATCCAATTTACCATTGATGACTCCATTGAAGTCGCCTAGAATAATCAAGCTGTCAAAGTCGACTTCCAAAATTTGTTTTCTCAGTGTTTCTGCAAATTTAGTTTTAGTACCATTAGGGGCATAAATATTACAGATTAATATTCTCTGGTTTTCTCGTTCTAAGAGTATCCCCACTGTTCTTCCCTCTAAATCTCTAAATGCTAATTTTGTTTCTAATGATTCTTTTGCATAAATCACCACCCCGCGCTTCTTTTCCGCTGCCGAGGAGTAGTAAGTTTTCCCTAGCTTTTTGCATGCTAAATGGGCAACATGTTTTTGTGAAATATGAGTTTCCTGCAGTGCAATTATGTCGTGATTTCCCTTACCAATATAGTTAAATACTTTTCAGTTCTTTTCAGCATCTCAGTTCTTTTTGAGTCTCTCAGTTTGTTGACCCCAGATATCACATTGAAAATGATGGCACGTGGAATATGGCTCATCTCAGAATGCAATTTCTGCACTTTTGAGGGGGGAAAAAAAACATTTTCTAATCTTTCTCCATACTACTTCTAAAATTCTCTGTGCTCTTCCAGGCCCAAAATAACTGTATTGAAGTCCACCTCGGTGTCCCTGAATCAGAAAAGTCTCACTCAGACACCACCCAGAGCCTCCAGCAGAAGGAGCTCAAGCAGGAATCGGATGAAGCTGCAGCCTTGCAGGGTAAGAAGGAACCCTTCTGGGAGTGTTGGTGTTTTATGACAGTGGAAAATCCCCTTCAGGGAAAATACAATCTGTTTGAGCTAGAGAAGATGCACATTTCAGCATGATTTGCAGTTTTCTTTCTGGCATTACTTCTACATTTGCATACTGTTGGGTGGGAGTGAAAAATCATTCCTTCGGTAACTTCCCAGGTGGGATCCAAAGCTAAGAAGAGCCATGAAACTGAGCTGGAAACTGAACTGTTGGTATTTCAACAGTAACTGGAGTCACATGAAATACCAAGTCCTGGACTCGTTTCACAGGTTGAGATAAAAAAAGTCCTAAACTCCAAAATGTTACATATTCCTGGGCAGGATAATGCTCCTGTGTCCATAGGGTCAATTCTTCATAAGTTTCTTTTTAGGACTGTGATTGTAACTTCTAAAACATGTTTATGTGATCAGTTTTCTACACCTTGCTCTCTCCCCCAGGGGCTGGAATGATGTTCCCGAATCCACAGTCGTTTATTCCCCTTTGTGAAGGAGTGGAACTGAATCAGGTAAGCAGAAGGATTTCTGGGAGACTCAAAAAGATCTCATCGTAGGCAACTACTACTACTACTACTACTACTACTACTACTACTACTACCTCTGAGCCAGGATGAAAAGCTCGACAAAGCCTTCTGTCAACCAAACAAGCACAAAGAGGAGATACAGTAGTCATGGGCAATTTCAACTATCCCGATATTTGCTGGAAAACAAATGCAGCCTAGAGTACAAAGTCCAACAAATTCCTCGCTTGTCTTGCAGACCGTTTTAGAGTCCAGAAGAGGCACCAAGGGGATTGGCTACTCTCAATCTCATCCTAACAAATGCGGAGGACCTGATCAATGCAGTCAAAGTGGTTGAATCCTTAGGGGCAAGTGACCATGTGCTCCTGCAATTTGCGATACAAAGGAAGGCCGAAACTAAGACAAGTCAAACCCGCATTCTGGGCTTTAGAAAAGTTGACTTCCAAAAAATGAAGGAAATACTGAGAAGCGTTCCGTGGACACCGATACTAAAAGACAAGGGAGTTATGGCTGGATGGGAATTTTTCAAGAGTGAAATACTCTTGAAAATACAGTGCCAACAAAGAGAAAAAATAGGAGAAGTGCAAAGAATGTCCAAAGAACTTCTAACTGGGCTAAATCTCAAAAGAGACATGCACAAGAAGTGGAAAAAGAGAGAAATCACCAAAGAAGAATTCAAACACATTTCTGATACTACATATCAATCAAGAAATGGTTCTTAACTGTGACCAACCAGATGTCTCTACAAGACTCAAACTATGGCACGGAGGCCATAGACCTTTCCCTTTCAAACATCCAACAGGAATATAAATCTGTTTTAAAGAGTTTCTTGTAATTATTTCTCTTGATGACCCTTATGTGAGAAGGAAATGTGTTCTTTTTCCACCAGGGCCCAATCGCCTTTGATGTCGTGGCTGTTCATTTCTCCCTGGAGGAGTGGGTTCTTCTGAATCCTGGTCAGAAAGTCTTGCACATGCAGATCATGGAAGAGATTCATGGGATTGTGGACTCTCTTGGTAAGGCTCCCTCACAAATGGGGATTTCTATTTCAGAAGTGCAGCATCCCAATCAGCAGCTCCCTGGTGGGGATAGGATCCTAAGTCATCTCAATCTCTGAGAGTTCTCAAGGCAGGGCTTATGTTAGAAATATATGACATAGGAGTAATATTGACTTGGTGCCTGAGCAACAGCCATTTTAGCACCATTTTGGACTCCAGTGGGAAGTCAAGTCCAAGCTCCCTCGCAGCACCAGGGCCCCCTCGAAAACCTCTCAAGAGTGATCACCCTAGATCAGTCACTAGATGAGTGTGTGTGTGAGGAAGAGGCAGGGGCGGGGGCATGCAGTGGGGAGCAAATATTCAATAAGTAGCCCAGCAAACCTATCCTGACTTCAGGCACACCTTTTCAGCAACCTGCTTTTGCATCCTGTGTACCCTTGGACTGCTTGGAAAGCCACTGCATGCCTGAAGCCAAAAGGAGTACAGTGTCCCGTGGTTTGCTTTTAATGGACTTGCTGTTTTGCGGATTTTAAAAAAAATACTAATTTTAAAATATATATCATGGTATTTTCACTGTTTTGTGAGTTTTTGCCTCTGCCGCTCTCTGAGGTGCTTTCCCTCCTCAGTCCTCCCTGCCTCCCTCCAGCCTTGGTCTTTCCTTCCTTCCTTCCTTCCTTCCCTTCACTTCACTTCACTTCACTTCACTTCACTTCACTTCACTTCACTTTATTTTAAGTTTATAAAGACTTAAAATAGTGTATACCTACTAAAATAATGTATAAATATTAAAATAATCAGCGCATCCCTACTTTGCGGTTTTCATTTATTGCGGGAGGTCCTGGAATGTAACCCCCGCAAAGGAACACTGGATGGAAAATGATGGGAAATACTTGTTTTTGCAAAAAGCAGACTTGCTCTTGATGTCTGCTGACATTCTTCTTCCCAGTAACTCGGGCCCCAAGGAAATATATTGGAGTGGGGCCGGAGAATGGAACATAAAAAAACTTCTCCTGGCTTTAGATATGCAGACAGAGCTATACATATTTTTATCAGGGTGATATTCCACCTTCTTTTTCTTGCCAGCTCTTCATGTCTGCAGGCCAGGCTCTTTTTGTACGCTGCCGCTCCCAGCACACAAACTGTCCCTTGCTTCAGTCATTGGGAAGATGGTGACCTGAAACATAATGTGTTCTATGTTCTGTGCTTGTGAATGATTAGGGCTCGGGTTTTTTTTTTAGTCACATGGGGAGAAAGAAAGAAAAAGAAAGGAATGATTGTTAAATGGGTGGTAGCATGATACAATTTTAGCGAGAATAAAAGGCAAGGATTTGAATGTGAAGGCAAAAGGGAGGAGGAGACAGAATAAAAAAACATACTGGGCTGAGCAACAGGTATACTCTGGAACATATATTACTCAGCTCACCTTTAGAGGCTCCAGGCAGTCAAACAGTGTCTATTCTTAATGAACAAGGAGTGAGAAGAGGGCAGCATTTATATCTTTAGACCCTTTATCACTCACGCTGAGGAATGATTGTTTCTGTCCTTCTTCACAGCAGATAAATGGAAGAAGAGCAATGTCTACACCAAACACAGTCAGCATTCTGGGCACAATGAGGGCCTTCCTAGACACCAGCAAACCCACAGTGAAGACGGAGTTTCTGCCAGGGAAAGGCCCTTCCTATGCAATGCATGCGGGCAGTGTTTTAAACATTATATGGCACTTGTGCTTCACAAGACACTCCATGCTGAGAAAAGGCATCTTAAATGGAAAGTATCAGCAAAATGTGTTGCTGATTACAAATTGCCACATCTGAGCCAAGAAGAAATATTTGAAGCAACTGAAGATTTCATAAACCAAGAGTGTGGGAAATCTTTTATCCAGAGTTCACACTTGGAGAAACATGAGAGATTTCACACAGGAGAGAATCCATACCAGTGCCAGCAGTGTGGGAAATGTTTTGCTGACAGTTCAGCCTTGGTGACGCATAAGAGAGTCCACACAGGAGAGAAACCATACCAATGCCAGGAGTGTGGGAAATGTTTTACTCACAGTTCAACCTTGGTGAACCACAAAAGACTCCACACAGGAGAGAAACCATACCAATGCCA